TGAAGGACCCCAAAGATCTGAATGAATGTAATCCAAAGTACCTTTTGTTCTATGAATCGATGCAGATTTGAAGCTCACTCTTTTCTGTTTCCCGAACACACAATGTTCACAGAACTCCATATTTTCGGTACTTTGGCCACATAAGAGACCTCTTTTGCTGAGGATGGAAAGACCTTTTTCACTCATATGCCCCAATCGCTTATGCCACAATTTGATGATGTCAGAATCTAATTTATCTGATTTTGAAACCGCAGCAGCACCTGTAACAGTAGATCCCAAAAGAGTATATAACGTACCAGATCTGCATGCTTTCATGATCACAAGAGCACCATGAGAAATTTTCAGAACTCCGCCTTCACCTGTGTACTTGCACCAAGATATTCTAGAGTGCCCAAAGAGATGAGATTTTTCTTCAAGTCAGGAACATGTCCAACATCGGTGAGAGTTCTCACCACACCATCGTGCATTTTAATTCAGACTGTACCTTTTCCAATAACTTTGCAGGCAGCATTGTTGCCCATCAAAATAACTCCACCTCCAATAGATTCATATGTGGTAAATAAATCCCGATTGGGACACATATGATAAGAACAACCTGAATCTAAAATCCACTCATTGTTAAGTTTGTAACTATTATTAGTTGCTAAAAAAATATTTTCCTCAGTCTCATCAGCAGCTACACTTGCTTCGGCAGTATCAATATTTTTGTGCTCATTTTTTTTTTCTGTATGCTTTCTTTGTTTTTTAATTTAAAGCATTCAGAAATAATGTGACCTTTCTTATGACAATATTTGCACATGACATTTATGTATTTGGATTTTGACCTTGATTTAGGTTTCTCACTACTTGAATTTTTTTTATTGGATCTACCTCTTATGAATAAGCCTTCCCCTTGGTTCCCACTAGTTTCCCCAGTAATATCTCTATCTATTTGTTCTTTTGATTTCAAAATAGATTTGATATCTTTATAATAGATATTATCATTTACACAAAGCATAGTATCTCTTATATGTTTAAACGACTGGGGTAAGGAAACAGGTAATAACACAGCTTGACCCTCATCTTTGATTTCAGCATCTATGTTACTTAAATCCATAAGAAGAGAATCAAAAGTATTAGGATGTGCAAGTATAGAGGTACCTTCATCCATACGAAAAGTGTAGAGTTTTTGCTTTAGGTAAAGCCTATTTTCTACTGTTCTTTTCATATATAAGGTTTTAATATTTTCCCATATGCCTTTGGCATAGCTTTCTGCTGCAACTTCACACAAAACCTCATTTGAAAGATTTAAAATAATACCTGCTTTTGCCTTTTTGTCTATGACGGCAAACTTTTCGTCCGTCATTTTATCCGGCATCTTCTCCTTTCCTTGCAGTGCCAAATCTAAGCCATCCTGAATTAGGATAGCTTTCATCTTTAATTTCCACATTTCGAAGTTTGTACTTCGGTCAAAATTCTCAACATAAGACTTTGTTAGAGTCATTTTCGCTATTTAAACTAACCCGGTTAGATATGGCTCTGATACCAATTTGTTAGTATCGGTAAACCGGGTAGTGCAGAATTTAGCCAAACAATGTTATAATGACAATAACAAAGACAATGCAAGTTGATAATAACAGCAATTAAAGAAGATAAAGAAGACACAAATTTAACATGGTTTGGTCAAGATGACCTACGTTCACAAACGGAGAAGAGCATTTTTACTATACCAACAAGAGTACAAAATTAGAGTAAATACTCTAATTAGTTCCAAATATCCTACGAGAATAACCTCACAAGATCACTCCAAAGAAAGGGTTCACACAAGTGTTTCTCAACACTCACTCTCTTACAAAATACTCTATAATAAAATAAAGGAGGAGAAAGAAAGACAAGAGTGAAAAGATCTTGAATTGGTGTATTTACAAATGAGGAGATGCTCCTCTATTTATAGAAAAAAATCCTTGGCCTAATAGTGGATATTATGAGCCCGTTTGGATTAGCTGATTTAAAGTAGCTAATAAGCATTAGGTGTTGAAAAGCACTTTTAAGTGTTAAAACTGATTTAATAAATAAACAATTATGTGTTTGGATAAGTGCTGAAATTGATAATAAATTGGTGCAATATTTGATTTAAAAAAGTGCTGATAAGCTCTTTTTCTGTTAAAATGATTTAAATAATCTTATAATTGTTTACACTTATAAATGCGTAATTTCTTCAAAATTTTAGATTTTAGATCGATTCAAATACAAAATATTCTATTTGTCATTTTATTTTAAATACAACTGTGCTTAGATAAGATAATTTTTGTGATAAATATAATTTATTTTATGATAAGCATATAATCATAAGTTATAATAATTAATAAATTGACAAAAGTTTCTCAGTAAAAAATAAACCTAAATAGGACAAAATATTTGAAGAGAAACAAACATTGTCTTCATCACCACAACACTTAGAAAGCAATACACCAAAAAATTGATATGTCCTCATTTATTACATACAATTCAAAGATTAATACACAATTACATTGATACAAATATGCAAAGGAATAGAGGATTTGCTTATCTTAAATAGTCAATGAGAATTGCAGACTTGAAGAGGCGGGGGGATTAGGTTGAAAAAGTACTTGAGGCAATGATTATCGATGTAGGAGTTTTGTTTTAAAAAGAATATTTTAAGGATAAAATAGTAAAAATATTGGTCAAACTTAAAGTGCTTATAAGCTAAAAATTCATAAGCTAGGGGTGACCTGCTTATGACTTTTGGCTTATTTTTGACTTATAAGCACTTGGCTTATAAACACTTTTAACTTTATCAAACGCGTAAATAAGCCGAAAAACGCTTATAAGCTAGTTTGTCTAGCTTATAAGCTTAGCCAAACACCCTCTATGTCATGACAAATGTCATGATCCACAACTTTTGTTATAGTGGATAGTATGTCATGGCAAATATCATGAAAAATTGGCCCCCACTTGAGAAGAAGCCAAATTAATGGCCATATTACAATATTCCAAATTATGAAAAAGGTAATATCAATGAGTAGAACCTGCATTTGGCGCAGATTTGTATCTAAAGAAGTTAAGTCAAATTTGATTTCTAAAATAACCAAACCGAGCTTACAAAATCAAGTAGAAATGGCACTAAGTAGCCCACTTTAAGGATACCGTCCAAAACATACAGAATTTTAGAAAAAACTATTTAAAGCTTAGCCAAATTTGACGAACTTCAAACGGCTTGAAGGTTTGAAGTTTTGAACTACCAAGTCCTAACTTCAAACTTGAAGGTTTAAATTTTTGAAACTTTGGTCTGAAGCTTGAAATTGCAACCTGTTGAAGTGACTAAACTTTAAATACTTTGTATGTTTCAGCAACTTTAAAATCGACTATTTCTGCAGTTCGCCCAATAATCAAGCAAAACTTAAATACTTTTCAAAGTAGAATGTTAAAAAGGCTTATTCATATTGAGACAGAATCAAATCAATAAGGGAAAATGACACTGTACAGTCCCTCTCAAAATAGTAGTCGAAAATATATATATATATATATATATATATATTCATATTGAGACAGAATCAAATCAATAAGGGAAAATGACACTGTACAGTCCCTCTCAAAATAGTAGTCGAAAATATATATATATATATATATATATATATTCATATTGAGACAGAATCAAATCAATAAGGGAAAATGACACTGTACAGTCCCTCTCAAAATAGTAGTCGAAAATATATATATATATATATATATATATATTCATATTGAGACAGAATNAATGTAAATAGTTTTTCATACGGGCTAAAATTGGAAAAAGCCTAAGCCCATAAAGCATTGAAGATCAAAACTAGGCCCAAATATTTAGTCCAAATCGGGCAACAAGATAACAAAGCAATCTCCGTCTCTATAGAATAACTCTCTTCGGAGGAACGAGAAAACCTTTCAATCCTTTCCAGAAAATCCTTCTTCTTTCACTGATGATTTGTTTAATCTCTTGAAATTTGCAACAGAAGAAAACCCACAAAGATTTCGAATCGGAGCTCCGGCGACCTTTCGGGTTTGACCCTCTTAAACAGCGGGTTTCTTCGAAAACGGAACTGTAAGATTTCTATTTTTTATTCTTTTTACTGATATTTTTAATTCATGTTCTATGTTAAGTAATGGGCTCGATAATTTTCTCTGTACTTGTTTATATGTCTGTTTTCCGAAAATGGGGGATATAGTTGGGATTTTTAAGGTTCCACGAATATCTGCTAAAGGGTATTCCTTCAATTTAATGTACCTTCCGTAGGAATTCGGGGTAATCTCTATGTAAATCATGTCGTTAGATGGTTTTTGAGAAGCCTCACGGGATTAGGTCTAATTGTAAGAGCACAACACGTGATGTGTGGGATCCAAAAATGATGCGCCACTGGCTCTGAGGGATTTCTCAGTTATCAAAAAATTTAGATGGTATTTGAAAAATGTTTTCGGGTTTAGTTGTAAAAGGACTAAGATTAGTTTTTAATCTAGACTTGTGTAGGGATAAATGAGGATTTCTAGTTTTAGATGAAACATAAATTTGCCTAAAAAGAAAAGTTATCTAGTATTGGAATAAAATGGACCTATAGATTATAAAATGACATGGCTATTAGAGTTACCTGATACCTGGGAGGTAGCAGGTACCTGGTGGAATATTCAAGGTGTGCGCAAGTTGACTCGGGCACCACCGTCATAAAAAAATAAATGACATGGTCATTAGTGATGGTTTTGCAATATTCTATGTTGACCTCCCGATGCACCCGTTGTAGGTGTGATATAATGAAAATTGAAGGTGCTAACAGGGATGAGGTAAAGAAACCTAAAATCATATGATGAACCGTTGTCTTCAATGACCTACACCTTCTCAAAATTAATGTAGATATAGCTAATATTATAATTTAATATCACATAAGTAAAAAGATCTAGTCGACCCTAAGTAGTCGAGATTAAGGCTCGGTCAATTGTTGTTTTATTTTACGTTAGGTCAAGTATTTGCCAAATGCCATTTTTGCAGTGTTATTAAAGGCAAAAAGCGCAAAAAAAGCTCTAAGGTCCGTTGGAGCTTTAAGCGCAAAACACAATTAAAGCATTGGGTTTAATGAAAAAAAGCGAAACGGGAGAAAAAGTAAAAATATGTATATGTAGTCCAAGACCAATAATTATAAGCATGAATAACAAATATATGGACAAAGAAATTAAAAGAAAAAATTACGATAAAAGTGAAATATCAATTGTTTAGTGTCGCATTTTCAGGGTTACACTCATTGGCAAGGAAAAATATGCCTTAGAGTCTTGATGCGATACTGAAGCACCCACAAAGCGAGGGGAAGCGCTCAACATGTTTTGAGCCTCGCTTCAGGGCTTAATCGCGCCTTTGACAACACTGCATTTTTCCACTGCCTTTTACCTTGTTGTTCCTATTAAATTGTTATTGCTTCCTTTCACTGTTCTTGAGCCGAGGGTCTATCGGAAACATCCTTTCCACCTTAATAAGGTAGAGGTAAGGTCTGCGTATACAATTACACATTACTCTCCCGTACCCCACTTGTGAGATTCCATTGGGTTTGTTGTTGTTGTCCAGTATTTGCCAATATTAAAGTTTTAATCTGGCTAGAGACTTGTATATCAGTGCAGGGGTAACAGTGAAATTAAGAGAACATCTAACTTTAGAAAACCTCTGACTTGCCTTATGAGACAAATTGTTTAGTATTTGAATGAAACAGGTTCAACTAGAGATAAAGGAATATAGAGGATTCGTACAGCTAACCCCATGCAATTAGGAATTAAGGCGTAGTTCATTGATTTGTTGATATTGGAAAGAAACAGATCTGGATAGAATGGAATGGATATAGTAGACTTTTACAGCGGGCCACAACTATGTTGGGATTAAGGCATAATAGATTAGTTGTCATATGGTTTCATCTGTTAGCGTTCTCCGCCGCTGCTATGTGACTAGTTGGTGGTGAAAAAGTTCTATCATAGTATTTTAAAAACCAAAGTATATATTGAAAAAGAATAAACTCAAAGTGAAAGTGAAAGACTATAAAAGATGTACATTTTATCTCAAAGGAGGCATCACGTACCTTTTGGTGAACGTTGCTTCTTATGTTTGATTGAATGAAAATAAAAAGCATTCAATTAGGTCACACCATGGTTACCATGAAAGGTTCTAGGAATTGCTATACAAAATATATGCGCCAAAAGAGAATTGTTTTCATTTTTGGTAGTAAGAGAAAAGCCTGTTTAGTTGACTATCACCAGGCTCCCAGCTGGTACACCCTGTGGAAACAGTACATTGTGTGTGAGTTCTTAAATGTTTTCTTCACACTACAAAACAAGATTTCGCTTCATTTCTTGGTGTATAATAAATATCATCATCTCAATTCGCGCAATATTGTTATAACACTGGTCAAAAGAACCTAATGATACTTCAGCCATTATTTCTTCTCTATGTTGGTTGCCCGATGAGCGAGTCTATCTTGTCTCAATTGTGGCACAATTTGTCTAGTGGACACTGGACAGAGGATGCTTTCTCTTTATTTTTCTTGGGAGTGGGGTGGATAGTTTGCATGTTAGTGCCCAGATCTTGAGGAGATATTTTACTGTATACTATGTTTTGCGTGCATTTCTTTCATGCATCTTCTGATCTCCAGATATTTGCAGATATTTGAGGTACCATGGCTGAGATGGATCTTCTTTTGATAATCAAAAGTGTACCATCCCTGATTGAACAATTGGGGAAGGCATTAAATGATCTTGAATCTCACGAAGATGCCTCCATGGATAAGGGTTTACTCAAGGATATTGAAAGACACTTCCGGGATCTGGAGGCCTCAGCAGTGAACAAATCTTTGGAACTGGAAAGTAGAGAGAAAGCCTTTAAGGAACAAGAATCTGATGCACATCTGCTGATTACTTCACGAGAGGCAGATATAGCTGCTAGGGAGCAAAATTTGTGGGATCAGTTGCAGGAACTTAAAGATGCTGCAGTTTCTGCAATTGCTGCAGCACGGGGAGATCATCAATTGGCATCTTTAGAGCATACAGATATAGAGGACAGCAAAGACATTGAGGTAAACAGCTCTCTTGGTGGAACAAATGGACTTCATACTGGCTCAGAGGTAAAATCCTCTGGTAGAGCTGGTGAAAATGCTGATGGTGTTTCTGACAAGGTCAAACCTCGACCAGAACTGACACAATTATGTGAGAAGATGGATGCAGAAGGACTTCTGCATTATATCATGGAGAGTAAAAAGAGTATGACCTCAATTTCTGAGGAACTCTCCGTTGCCCTTGAAGGTGCAAGTGAACCAGGCCGTTTGGTACTGGCTTCACTTGAGTTCTTCTACTCTAATGATGAATCTAACTCTAAAGCTGAGGAAAGCAGAAATGCTAACCATAGCTTGCGTCAAGCCTGCGTTGTTTGTATGGAAGCCATAGCCACCTTGTTGGCGAAAGCTAAACCAGGTGCTGATCACCTTCTGTACCCAGAAATTAAGCAGCAAGCCAAGGTCATTGCTGATGAATGGAAGCCTAAGTTGGCTACTGCAGGCACTGATGCTGCCAATCAAGCTTCATTGGAAACCGGGGCATTTTTGCAGCTCCTTGCAACTTTTAGGATTGCTTCAGAGTTTGATGAAGAAGAGCTCTGCAAGTTTGTTCTTGCAGTGGCTCACAATAGGCAGGGGCCTGAGCTCTGCCGTTCTCTTGGCTTAGCAGACAAAATGCCAGGTTGGTGTTCTTTTAACTGACCTGATGTGGTCTGGAGACCAGACCATCTCTTCTTTGAGATGCTCTTTTCACTGGAAATCTTGGACCTTTATAGTATACTATGCTAGGAACTGTTCAAATGATGCATCTAATAGCTGCTGCCTCTCCAAATATGCAAACATATTACTTCATCAAAAAATTATGCAATCATTTATGGTGTTAATTCTATTATTATCATTATTATTATTTCTTTGCAGGTATCATTGAAGCATTGATTCATAATGAGAAGCAAATCGATGCTGCTCGTTTTATTCATACCTTCAAGCTGACTGAAAGATTCCCCCTTGTCCCGCTCCTGAAAGGCTATTTGAGGGACTTGAGACGTAACGCACAAGGGAAGGGAGGTAACTCGGGAAACAGAGAGGTACTACTAGCCAAATTAATCCTTTGGCGGTCATGCATTTGTTAAATTTGACCATTTAGGAAATTCTACTTTCATTGGTAGCTCAAATATCTGTCAATAGAGTTGCATGCATGTACAGTTAATTTCCAATGATCTATATAGGTAGATGACGTCATTGGTTATTACAAGCTAAGTTGCTCCGACACAACAATTTAGGTGCCGCACCTGTGTGGAAACGACACTAGTATGGGTGTGGGTATGGGATCCGTACCGGATTTGGTCAAACAATTTTGGTTACTTTGACTACGACAGACGGAAAAATTCGAGATGAGAACCAACTTGATACAACTTGATTCCTGAAATCAGAACCAAGACTAGGGTAAATTTGAAGAAAATAACATACCTTATCAAGGAAATCAATCCTTTACTTATCTACAACTTGAGAATAAAAAACAAATCCACACTTTACAAGCTATACGCAAGTTTTCCATAAAATTTCTCATAATCTAGAGATATTTTTATATTTTTATTTTCTTTAAATTATTTTTAGCCGGATCCCCGCACCCATATCCGTACTAGGATCTGTATTCCCGAATCTTAGAATTTACATTTCGAAGGATCCGGCGTCTGAATCCTCATCCGTGTCGGACACCCGCACTCGTGTCCAAGCAACTTAGATTACAAGTATTAATCCACATGTGCTTTATTATGTACATATGACATGCATATTCAACACTATTTTAGTCCTTAGAATGCAAAAAGTAATCTAATATGAGAAAGTGAAGAAAATAGTAGTCTTAGTTTGCCATGAACTTGCTGTATATTACCTTTCATACTCTCTGGTTATTCAATGGAAATTTCATGAAATTAAACACCGAAATCCGTGTAAAAAAACATGTAAATCGTATCCACAGACATCTATCATGTTGGCCAAATCATTTATAAAAATGTGTATTTTCTCTTTACACCAAAAAAGTAAATGAAAGAAAAGAAGACTTTTTAATAGTTATATTGATTTCATTGTTTTGGAACAGTTTCCTATTTCTTTCATGCCAAATTATTCAAAAAACGCATAGAGTAGTTCGATTTTTTTAATCAAGACGCATAGAATTGTTCTTAGGCAAACTTCCTTTTTGTCTATAACCGAGAAATCCCCGAGGGCCAATGGCGCACGGTTTGAAGTTCAGTGGATAATGGGCCTGCCCCTCTACCCTTGTTAGGCAAAACTTCCTTTTTTCACCCTATTTTCGTCTAACTCGTGACATGGTCTCTCTCACAGTCCTAGGTAACACCATTGCTTTCTTGAACCCAAAAAAGTTCAGAGTTGTGTGACACACATGTAACATGTAACAATTGTATGATTTGGGTCTTGGTCTTCTCCGAACTGCTTATAAACAAAACTGGCTTTACATTGTCGGCCTCTCTTCCTAATTTTATCAATCGTTATGGCATCTGTACTGCACACCATGTGAAGAAAGCTGTTTTTTTGGTGCCTCTCCGTCGCCTTTCCTCCCCACCACTCTCCTATCCCCGCTTCATCAAATTTCCATATAATGATTTCACCGTGTGAACAGACGAGGAAATGAATATTTTGATCTCTACTGGATGTACTAGATATTGGGAAAAACAAAGATCCTGGGTGGTGGTCGATGTTGTTTAATAACCTCCCCGGGGAGTGAAACCTTAGTTCACTGATTTATAAAGAAGACCAAAATAACCGAACCATAATTTTTTATAAAAATGTACAAGTAAATTGGGAATGTGAAGAGATATGGAACTTGGGTTATCCCAATTCCCAAGTGTTTCATTTGATTAAAACCATGGTTTTTTCTTCTTGGGGAGTGGGTTAGAGTCTTACCTATGAACGGTCATGGTGAAGCCAAATTTCCTCCTTGTCCTTGATTCCTTAATCTAGAGGTAAACGAGAGGATGCAATCTGAATCCTTTTTCGGAAAGAAACGCTAGAGACAATTTAAGCTCTTTTCAGATTTTAGTTAAGAGTTTTGATGAAGTAGCAAGCCTGGGTCAAAGAAGACTGTAGAACAACTATATGAAGCAGCTTGCCTTAGGATTTTAAAGTTAAATCTTGATATGCACGTTTAATTCTTGTCAGGGAATGAATTAGATTATCTAGAAATGAACAAGTTGTAAATAAATAGAAAATTGCCTGCAAACTGAAGCATAGTGGTTATGGCTGACACAATAATAACCAGCTTGAGGCCTTTCTACTTTCAAGTTAATTTAGTGGGGCTTAATGCTTGAGTTTACTGATATGAATTTACTTCTTTTCGAGGTTTGACAATTAAATATCACCATGGCAAACTTGTTCCTACTTGTCTATCAGAAGCAAAAAGAGAGCCAAAAGACGAGGGGAGGTTGGCATTCTTTATCTCTTAATTATAGGCAAACTCTCTTACATAATAGTACAATTGCGCAGGAACTTGCAGCTGTTAGGGCAGTGGTACGGTGTATTAGAGATTACAAGCTTGAAGCAGAATATCCACTTGATCCACTACAAAGAAGGGTTGGTCAGCTGGAAAAAGCCATTTCTAATGACAAATCCAAGTCTAATGATAAGAGAAGACATTCTGGATCAGCTAAACATCAGCAATTCAAGAAACCACGGCCAAGTGGAGGAACACATGGATCTACCAGACCTGCTAACGTTCCTAGCAGACAGCCCCCCTCTGTTTTAATAGAGAGAGTGGCCGCTTATAATCCAAGCAGACAGGTCCCCTCTGGTTTAGTTGAGAGAGCAACTTATGCAGGATTGTCCGATAAGTACACTCATCTTAGTACATCTTATGATTATCAAGCTCCAAGTCAGGCTGCATATCCCCAGCAATCCTATGAGCAGAGATCATATTACTATCCAGCTGATGACGGAACTACTGCAACTTCTTATGCACCTTCTCTGCCATATAGTTATGGAAATTACGCAGGCAGCGGAATGCCAGTAGCAGATGAGAGAATTACTGCAAATTCTTATACAACAGATCTGTCATCTAGCTATGGCAATTATGTGCCAACAGCACATCAATCCTACGTGCAGAAGGAGTAGTACTGAGCTTTTATTTGTAGTAACAGGTTTTTCTTGGAAAGACATGGTAGATGACTATCCTGATAATTTGCTTTCCATGATAACACTTTTGGCTTGAGTAAGTGCCTATCTTTCACCAGTATTTCTTTATCTGTGATCCTTAAACTGTTTATCGTAGAATTACATTATGTAGGGACATCCTCAACTTATGTTTCTAAATTTTAGTTCATAAGTAGAAGTGGTAAAGTGGTGTTGCCATTGATTTGGATTTTAGCAATTTGGCAGTTTAGCTAATGCCAATAGTAGCAACCACAAATCTCTCTCTCCCCCCCCCCCCCCCCCCCCCTTTTATTTCATTTTAGTTGAAATTGTGTTATATCAGGTCAGATGCAATTCTATGTTGGTTCAGTTTACAAGTTCTGTTTAGAGTTGCCACCTAATTTTGATGGGAAATCAAAATCTTTCAAGTTGAATCAAAAGATGGTCTTACAACAAAATCAAATCTAACTTTTGGTAAATTCACAGTATGTAAGGTAACGATCCAAGAAAATAAAGATAAATATCAGAATAAAAAGTAGGATTAGGGGTCCCATAAACAGAAGTCATTGAATAGGTGTGAGAACTATTGGTCAAACGAAAAGTTCTTGGGCATTGTTTTTAAGTTTCAACGATATGAGATTGTCTCATTTTCACATTCATTTTTCAGTTAATACATTGCATTTAAGCTTTAGTCCGTTTATAACGCTTGATACTGTGTCAAATTGTTTCCCTACCGTGGCTGTCAGAGAGTAGACATTCTATGTATATATGCCAGCCGGATAAAAAGTGTGCATACCAAACAAATTAACCATTTATTATTAGTTTATTCAAAACTCAATTCTTATCCCCCTGTCCTAGGCAGAGATCTCAATTTCAATTGAGAAAGAAGAAGTTAGAATGAAAAGTTTTTGATTCATCTATCAATTATAGGCGAACAACACTAACAAATATATAGTGACAGACATAAAAGAAATTGATTCGTCATTTGTAACATCTATCCATCTCGCAATTCCAATTAACCGATTCATTGAGTAATTTATGTAGCGGTGTTTGACTGGATATAACCTTAAGAAAAAAAGACTTTTAAAACTATGGTCTAAAACAAGTCATTTAAATTTATGTTACTATGTATAAATTGAATGGGAGCCTTGGAGCAACGGTAAATGTTTCTCCGTGTGACCAATAGGTTACGGGTCCGAGCAACGGAAACAGTCACTAATGCTTGAACTAGGGTAGGTTGTTTACATCATACTCATTGGGGTACAGCCTTTCCCCGGACCCTGCATGAACGTTGGATACCTTGTACACCAGACTACCCTTCATAAATCATCTCATTAAGGAACCAAAAGTTTAGAGTTAAAGTTATTTCCAAATAAAAAAAATAAAATATTTTCTTTTAGATAGACTAAAGATGAAGGTATGACACATACACCGAAATAAAGGGAGTACGATTTTAAATCGCTAACCGAAACAAGTTCAAAGAAGTACATAAATTCTTATATAGTATAATTTATGCAACTATAAGCAATGAGGCCGAGTATGATTGCAGATCTCAAATTGGCTAAAAGCCTTGGGGCTGAGGTGGTCGAAGCTAAGTGTGATTCCCTCCTCTTGGTAAATTGTAATGACCCAAAATGCCATCTTTAAATTTAATAATTAATTATGTGTTCTAAGACCTCGAAAAATACTATTTATCATTCCTCGACTTGCGTGCATAGTCCGTAAAATTTTTCGAAAAATTTTTATGTGAAAAAAATGGATCAAAATGTGAATTAGAGCTTTAAAACTCAACTGAGTTGACCTTGGTCAACATTTTGAGCAAATGAACTCGGATCAGTGCTTTGACAGTTTCGATAGGTCCGTATCGTGATTTGGAATTTGGGCATTTGTACGATTAGTTACGCAAAGTTTCATACCAGAAACCAAATGTTGTAAATATGCAAAAACTAAATTAGTAAAACCAAACTTTATAAAATTTTAAATAATGTAGAACTTGATACTAGACTTGTATTTGTGTTTAGAAGGCCAACCAAATGACTCACATTCTATTGGTTGAGAACTTGATAGTCCCTCTCCAGTGTTTTGTCCTTTTGAATCACTCAAATAAACTGTTTGTCAACGACTCTGCTATTCTCTTCTGTCTGGTCTATATGTAATAGTATTACTTTACAAAATGTAAAAAAGAAAGAAAGAAAACAAAGCGAAAGTCGTGTCTTTTCATGTGGCTATTCTTACAAAGCCTGCAGTTTTTCTGTACAAAACTGCAAGGGCTTATAACTCAATATAAGTTGCATAAGGTCTTATTAGTAGTACTTTTTGCAGACTACTTTTTGCCTTTTCCGTTAATAACTTGATTTTCAAAATCAAAAGATTCTCTGAAGTATTTATATCACTTTTTTTCCTTTCTTCTTTTCAATTGGATTGTTTTGGAAGTACTCTTAGCTTGTAGAGGTGATATTAAATAAGATCCTTATAGCCTTTGCTAGAATAGCTTTATTCTTAATCATGTATCACATGATGGTCAGATCATTGGTCTTTTTTCTACCTTTCTTTCTCTCTTTGCCTTTATTTTTCTCTCCTTCCCCAACGAATCTAATTTTGGAAGTTAATTTACACATCGGTTTCTTAATTTTTGAAATATGGAAATTTTACAAGAACTATGTCAAACTAATATGAATCACAAATTTTTATAAGTCAAGTACTGCAATTGTTGTTGACAAATGTTGTAAAAATTGTTTATATTTCTTATTATTATGTCTTTCTTTTTTGAACGTCACGAATGATCTTTTAGTTTGGGTGGTGGAGCTTGGTGGAAATCTTTGGAAAAACGTGCTTTTCAGTTGATGAATTCTCCTTTGGGCAAACTCAGCAACCTCGGGCTCTTCTTCTGGCGCCTACGAAAAATCAGATCTAACTTTCTCGTTACGAGAAATTATTTCCTCCACCGTAGGAAAGTTCTCATAGACACCATCAACGTGAGGATGCATAAATACCGCCAAAGAGACATGGTCAGTCCCCACACCGGAACCAGAAGATACATTAGCCATATTTTCAATGAGAAAGAAGGATTAGAAGCAACGGGAAGCACTACAACCAGAAAAAAAAAGACACAGCGAGGAAGAAGGGAGAAGAAATATCAAGGTTTTGATGAGGAAAACACGTAAAGAACAAATGAATGTCATCACATCTCTATTTATAAGAGTTCGGGCATCAAAACCAAAAGGTTATGCCATCATTACCCAGCACTGGAATCGAAACGGCAGCTCCAACTGACAGTCGCACGAGAAATGACGCAAAGCATCGGGAAAATGTGCCATAATGACGCATGATGTCATGACGTCATTCTAGCGCAGAAACGACACAACCCCAAAAGTGGCGGCTCTCGAAAGGCCACGTTGCCGGCTCGTCCCAAGTTTAACTACCTGACCCACTCGTCTACTTTCCTCGACCATAACCAACAAAGTCTGCTTATCAAGGTCTTCTGAGGACGGCCTCAATAAGCGGATGGACTAACTGTATAGGTCGAAATCTACTACGGAACATTTAGGGCGANCGCTCATCAAGGTCGTCAGAGGATAGCCTCAATAAGCGGAGGGACTAACTGTATAGGTCAAAATCTACTACGGAACATTTAGGGCGAGAACGTATTGAGGAAAAATCAGTCGAGGTCGATCACGAAATGGTGAAGCTCGTGATCGAGATGCTTATAATGGTCGAGGACTAAGTCCGCGGAAAGAACCGTAACGGCTAGTTTTAAGAATATGATAATAGAGGGAATATTCAATAAGAATATTCTCTGCACATGTAGTATTAGGGTTTACTAGGGATGTGTCCCATATATAGAAGACAAAAAGATAAGGACAGAGGATATGTAATATTGATCTAATAAGAACATTTTTTCGAAGAAAGATTCCCTCTCTAGCAAAGATACAAACATTACATTTTCATCAAGATTCTTGTTCATATTATTCCATACTTTCCCATCAGATCTGAGAATAGTTCGAACATTCTAGGATTTATCTGTCATTCATCATTGTCAGGAGAAATAATCATCTAGTCCATTCTTTATTGGGTGAATCAGTCCTCCTATTGACTTAAATGTTATTTATTCCTATTTATTGCTTAGTTACTCCTCCATTATTGCTCATACTTTATGAATATTTAGTACATGTTATTGTCAATCTCCTATTAGATTTGTCCCACATTATCCACGCTTTCAGGATCCGCATTTAGAGATATTATCGTTAACTAGTTTTAACCCATAATTATATAAATATAATAGTTTTAACCGAAAGTTATACTTTTTGGTCAAATAATTTGGCGCCGTCTGTGGGAATTTCCTAGTTAAATTTTTAGTTTTCCTCTAGATCTATAGCTGACACGAATCGCTAACGTAAAAAAAGAAGAAGCAAGAACAAGCTCCCCTTTCTTTGTATGCACAAATCTAATATGACAGGTAACGGGAAAGAAAGAACAAGAATAATGAGTAACCTCCCAACCAACCTCATGAATATCATCAATGAGAGCTCTGAAGCAGTGGACGAGGGCGCAACGCCCAATGCCTTCCCCAGGCGGGGTGGGTTACCCCCTCCTCACTGTAGCATCACAAAATCTCTTGGTAAGGGAGCCTTTACATCCGTGGTGGAAGAGACGCCACCAGCAGTAAAAAAGCTCCTTGAAACTTCACTAACCGACACGCTAACCAGCATCCTCCATAAGCCCGCTCGGGACACGGCTACAGAAAACGCGAGGACTTGCATTATACTAGCAGTGGACGAGCAGCATGATCAATTTCCTCCGCCTCCAACGACAGGTATTACTCACAATGTCGTTAGTAGTGCAGGTGACAACACTCTCACAGCCATTCTGAAAAGAATGGAGGAAATGTAGAATGAGAACAAAGCACATCAGGATCAAATGAGAGAACACCAAGAAAGGGTCGATAAGATACCGGATACCCCTAAACTCTTGCCGAAGAGAGATGCCGGTCGGTTCGTCGAGGAGCCGTATAGTGATGACGCCGCCCCACATGCCATACAAAAAACCTTAAAAATGCCGCCCTATCTGAAAATATATGATGGCACGACCGACCCCGAAGACCATGTGACTCACTATGTCACCGCCGTGAAAGGCAATGAACTCGCCAAGGAACAAGTATCCTCCATTTTGTTAAAATAATTCGGCGAGACCCTCACGGGAGGAGCTCTAACGTGGTATTCACAACTGCCTGCGTA